TATATTCCTGCTTTTATATCTGACGTACAGAACTCGTGAACCATCAGGTATGTGGGAGAAATCCACTTTTCATTCCGTTCAATGAAAAACTGCGGAATACATTAAACTCCTCGGAGTATTATCATTTAACGCGACTGGTACGTGCAAGAGATGAGTGAATAGTGATGTTTTATTTTTAATCAATTATATTAAATTGACTTTCGTCGATGCATTCAGAAAGTATTTGAAAATTTGTAAAACTGTTTTTTTTTACTTCTAAAGCTTTTCTGCCATATTACATTTTTTTTTTTTTTTTTAATATATAATAGATAATTTCACGTGAATTTTTGAATCCTTTTAGACAAATCTCTATCAAGCGAATCGCTATTCCAGAAAACTGATTCGTCTCAGACATTCCAGAAATACGGTATTGCAAAATTTTACATTTTGTAATAACCACTTTTAAAAGTATTTATCAAATTCGTATCATCTTTCCTTTAAACTATATTTCACTATGAATATACGATAATATTCTTATCAGTAAAATATATTCGTTCGTCTCTTCCACAAACTGTCTGAGATGAACGAGGGAAAAATATTTTTGGTATAACAAACTCATTAGATAATTCATTAGAGATCATGACGTTACTATGACTGTTACGAAGAGTCATCCTTACTTTAAGGTGCTATCCTTTTAAACAAATCGTTAGATGTGGTCCACCCCAAGCAGGCGAGTAGGTTATCACATCTCGTTTCGAATCGTTAACTTTTACGAGCGTCGTGAATTTTAATTGGACCCAGCGGTAATTGAAAGCCGCGAGTATCGGCGTGATTTTGCGAAAAAAGAAAAAAAAGGCCACGTGAACATAGGTGTAAATTTAAAAGCAGTTCCCACATATACATCAGTCTGCCTAAAGTAATGAAAATCTGCATTCCCACAAGTGTCAGATATATTATCAAACAAAGAAATCAAATTATAAATATACAAAAGAAATGTTTCATCCTGTACAAAAAAATGTGCGTCAGAAATTGATAAAACTGCAGCGGGATAGAGCCGGGACGGAGTCAGGTGAGCCACAAAGAGACAGTCAGCCAGAAGAACGTTGCTTGCAGTACTGCGTATACGTCCGCAAGGCCTAATTTAGAAATTTCGTAAATAACGGCGCATGCATTATTAAGGAGAGCACAACCCCCTTAACTCGGTAACCCATATTTCACGGGAGCACTTACCACGGCCATTCTTCCTTCACAAAGCAACTCATTTCGCACAAAAATACTCGGGCAACTTGGCCAACCAGCCACCCAGTCAGCTCCGAGTCTTGCGAAGGATTGAGACTATACAGTAGAGGCAAGCTACTTTTAAATATATCGTAAAACTTCTTACGTAGCCTTGGTCCAAAAGGAAATGACGGGAAGAAATCCTGGCACCACGTCCGGCCTTTTCTTCATTGTTTCGTGCACTTTGAATTACCGCGCATCGTAAGAAAAAGAGGTACGTGCTCCTGTTTTTAAAATATCATGGGGCTTCTGGTGCTTTTTCATTAAATTTTTTTTTTTTTTCAAAATAAATGAAACTTACCAGGAGGATTAAGGGGCTGTGTCGGGCTCTTCGAAAAAGTATTTCAATGATCCCCTTTGGGTTGTACCAAATTACGTAACCTTTTGAGATATAATATATCGGGTGTTTCGTGACAAAGAAACTTTTCTCGAAATTTTACGTAGCTCGTGGACTCACGTAAAATCGAGACCATCGAGCAACAATATATTTAGGATCCTCGAAGACTGGCATCCATCTCGTAAATCTCTATGCAGTAAATTTAATTTCAAATTGTGCAAGGGTAACGCGAAACTTCCGCCCCATTCGCATGGAATCTATATAACGTACAAACGAATTCCCATTAATCAGGAATACCGCACATATCGTTTCGACTATCCAGTATTAACTTTACACTCTGTTTACCAAAGTAGCAGCACCTGCGCCGTAACTACTTTTTTTTTTCAACACTGTCAAACAAATAGTAAATCGAATCACAAATGAAAAAAGTCAACAAAAATAATATTTCGGAAAATTCAAAATCAAACAATTTAAAAAAACAGACGAATCCATAAAAATCCTATTAACTGAACTTAAAGCCCCTGTTATGGAGTAGACAATACTCGAGACAAAAATATCACCTGATTCTCTACCACGTAAAGTACCTTCAATAAACATTCTCAGATCCATTGTGTCCACTGAAGTTACAAAGTAGGTACTTTAGGAACTAAGCGCATCGTCAAAGAGGGTGGATTGTGGTTTCCACAGTGAAACCGCAGTGCAAGTACTAGACACGGAAACTACAGTGGTACAAGTATATACTATAGTCGAAGTATACGAGCACAAGGTATAGGATACATATTATATAAAGACCTACGTATAGTATAGGGTCGAGAAGAGATGGTTGAAATGGGATATAGAATCCGTGGCATTGGTATAAGGGATCCTCCAGGAGGCTGCAGTATGAATGTTGTTCGTTTCTCATTTAGCGGTTCGCGTCTGACGCGGTTAGCATGTACCCACTAACGAACCCATTGTGGCAGGTTGGCCAACATTTGCTCGACTAATCCCACGTGTTATTCGCAGCTCTAACGTTTCGACATAATGGAACAATGTAAAACTCTTAAGTATCGTAGTCGATGCCCATAGGGACCTTAACACATATGCATATAACAGTCGGCTTACCTTGATACTTGACTGTGCGTTACCTGTTAACCATCATTAAAGCCATTACCAGCAACAAGGCTGGTCTTTGATCATAGATCAAGACCAGCGTATCATTTACAAGAATATATCTACTTGCAATTCTATAAGATTCTCAATGCACCTAAAGATCACGTTCACAAAGGACAGTCAAACCCAATTAGTCGTTAGTCGCAGTGTAGCACTCGGTGATACCGAAAGTGAATTTACGTCTGACGCTGATAAGACTTTCTTGCAGGAAGCTCTCAAGATGATCTCTCACTGTCTCTTTACGAGCTAAAGTTTGGCTTCCTATCAATGCACCTTAATTGCCTCAATGATTGAGTTTCGACTTCGCCAATTGAAAACGTCATACTTGATTCACTTAGCGCGAATGGTGCAAGATGCACTTCTTGTCCGAATCTATTATTAATAATTTAATATACGTAATGTAAGACTTACTTGACTTTTAATAATATTATTATCGTTATCGTGGCGAAAATAGACAATCTACTGGTTTGTAGTATTTAATGCATCCTGCCCGTGTTATCCTACTGTTTAATCTTTTTCTGGATTGAAAGCACTTTACACCGTCGGCGCTTCTCCTGCAGCCAATTTCTCGTGTATTTTTATTGCGTCGCTTTTGATGCAGTGCAAAGTCTCTTACTACAAATAATTTATCCGCTAACCCTGCCAGTCGTACTGTATGATTCGTGGAAGTTGGAGTAATCTTGTTTGACAGTGCTGCCATCTGGAAATTCAATGTTCCTATAGTTTGGGTAAGAGTTTCACTCCACTCTGACGAGTCCATTTATATCAATTATACCAGTGGAATGTATAATGTTGTTCAAAGTTTTTCGAAGTGCGGCTTGTTCCCTTTGACTCATCGATTTACGTTATTTTTCAAACTGCATTATTTCGATACGATTCCATGACAGATCTGGCAGGTAGATATTTTTCGTACATAATTAACTTTGTGTAAACTGATTTTGACGTCAGACGCCTCATTGTCACTGGCTGTCGAGCGAGTGACTATTTTCACTAGCGGGCGACGGAATTACGTAAAATCTGTACTCTAACTAAAGTACACCGTGAAACTTATCTCCTGGATATTGAATACTGCAATTCTTTCTTGAGTCGCATCGTAAAACATTTTGTACCAAGTTATTAAATAAGTTCCGGCACTGCTGAATGTTTTATATGAAAAGTTTGACCACTGCCGGCTGGGCACACGAGTCTCGTCCCTCGGAGTCCAAAGATATTGAAGTGCAAGGCAGTTGGTATGCAAAAATCGGGACCCTTCGAACATCACTCGATCTTGACGAGTAACGGATGTCAGAAAAATGGATAAGCTATTGGACAGGGCCGAGCGCGGGATATTTAAATCTTTTGAGTAATTCTATTCTTATATCCATATAAAATACGTGTTACGTTCCTCGAGATAAATGAGAAATGTACTACGCGTTATAATGTGAAAGGTGCATATGCATTTGTAAAATATATTAAAAAAGTATAGAGCCGTGCCGAGGTTGCTCTTATCAATCAGAGACTCACTATCGCGTACGTAAGGAAATGAAGTAAGCAAAATAGCGTGGAATCAGTGTGAAGGAATATCCTGAGAATAAACCTTTAGCCGAGCACTCCATCTATTTCATCGAAAAGCACAACGATGTCTTCACTGACGTGGAAAAGCTTCTCACCACCCTCGTACATCAAAAAGGGGTTGTCGACGCAATACCGCTGGAAGGGTGGCGCAATTTTTTTAAAACACCGAGACACCGCCTCGGTCCCTTGCAATATATATATGTATCCTGATCCGTTAAGAATATCAAGGCGTAAAAACGTCAAACCAACCCCGATCGCTCTCGCTTAGCTTGAGTGAGAATTCGTGCCAACGGACTCGAACCAATGAATGCGTCTTGATGGTTAGGCACCAGTAGAACTTCGACCTTGCCTCTATCAAGAGAAATCTCTAGAGGGTTCCCGAAGTGCCGTCTACGTGTACGTATAGGCATATAAGAGAGAGCACTCTCCCGAGAGTAAAAGCACGGCAGACTCTAAATGCAGGTGTATTTTGAACGGAGCTGCAGTACCCAGCAGCACGAAGTCATCGACCAGGGTAAATCCGAGACAGGTCCGCGTCACCGTGTTACGAGCATGCGACGGGAATATGTGTCGAGATGCAAACAAGTCCCACATACCCAGATCTCTCGGGTGTGAAAATAAGAAGAGGAGGGAGGAGGAGGTGGAAGAAAGGGGTTAGGAAGGGCAGTAGACTCGCAAATGGATGGCACGAGGGCAACGTGCCTGGTCCGTCCATTCGATGGGATAGTCGCAGCCAGGGGGTGGCTGCGTGGTGGAAGGTGCTTCGACTCGACGAGAAATAGTCGTGCGTCGGCGTTGGCCAGAAGAGGCAGCGTTTCGGCGCGGTGCGTCGCGATGCTGAAGCGTCATAGAGCAAAGGTACGCGAGAGTGAGAAAACATGAGTGGGAGTAGGACAGTCTGAGGGAGCGCAGAGGAGGACGCGAGACACGGGAGGCAGGGTCGTATCACGAGCTCCTTGGTGCCTGGGGGATGATGGAATCGGCGCAGGCGTCGGTTCGCGGCTCGAATCTCGCCGCCAAAGGAACGCGCCACTCCGCCCCCGGCACGGCAGCCACGCGATCGCCCTCCGAAGCCGACTAACCTCCCAGATCGCTTATCCTTCCGGAGCACCGCCGTGTGCACGGTGCCGCGTCCACGCGTTAAAATATGCCGCTCCGATAATTCGGGGGACGCCGATCAAGGACAATGATTCCATCGGATCTCGTACCGATCGAGAGCCCCGGTCAACCGGGGGACGCGAGAGATATCGTTCCTTAGGTAAATACCGTTATACGTTATCCTAACCGAATTTATTTATTCCGTTCAGCTGTGATCGTGTATGAATTTTATTTTTAGAATCGCCATATAGTTTTTCATAATATTTTTTTCATTAGTACCTTGTTTCTTTATATCTTCTCACGACGATTCGAAATGGGCGGGAACGGGATCTCGTGAACTTGGATTGCAGGAATAATCGAGTGACTCGAGTGTGTTTGTTATCTGGTGTTCAGGTTCAAAAGTTAATTCGACAGGGTGAATCCTGTTGCCAGAAGTGTACGCGCGAAAGACGTTAAATTCTATGTGCTCAAGACAGAGATGGGTATCGTGAAATTCTTGGCAGGAATCAAATGGCGATGATCTGGAAAACCAATACCAGGAGCTATTCCGGCTGTTACTCGTGCGGAAAGTAGTGTTCAGTGATGGGACTCTACTTCGAGAATTGCTGGGACAAAGTGCCGTGCCAAGTAAAAACGTGTTACATTAATCGTCTTCCTTATTGGCTTTTGTCAAGTCCCACTACTACCCCGCGTGAGGAGGACGAAGATACTGTCGCGTACGTCCGCAGAATGTTCGCTTAATCGTGCCGAAAAACGTGAGGATCGCACGACTGTGCGTCGTGCTGGGATTTTCTTTTTCCAAGCGTCCAAAGGACACGTTGTTCGAGGTGTCGAAGCGAGGGAATAATGGAAAGGATAAAAAGTTTCGAACAGCGTGCCAATGAGAGAAACAAATATCACACTGAATTGCAGTGGCAGACTGTAAAAGGGACGAAGTAAAGATACCATTGAGTTAATGAAGCTATAAAAGTATTATTAAAAAATATTTAACTAGTTCAAGTGTCTTTGTAGACAATTATTTTACGCCCTTTTTTTTCGAAGAGGCTACGGACAATTGAGTGCTCGGACAAAAATAAATGTTGGAGATTTATCGAATTGGAGGTACGTCTGTTCGGTGCTAGTAACTTGCATGCTGCAACGAATGCAAGACGCGGCGGCAAGACTGAGCGATACTTAAAACGGAATACGTATTTTTAATCGAGCTTATCTGAAGTCTCGAAGACGCAGACCACGAGACTCGGAGAACATGCGAGTCTCACAGTGCCGCGTAGGGAATCATGCGACCAGCACGTTCTCGGAATACGCTTCTCACGGGTCTGGATAAACTTTAGTAAAACCAGTCGACTTAGTTTTTGCGACGAGGGAAGCGTGTGTCGTTAAACCGCGATCGAACGAGAAAGGACGTCGGGGAAATCGTATTCGTCCCTAAGCACCATCGAACGAACAGTATTAAGCCGCAAGACTGTGATAAGCATCGAAACGTGCCAACGATAGCAACGCAATTTAAGTGATCATGAAAGGTAGAAGATATTATTTGACCAATTGAAAAATCAAAATAGAAACGGCAATTGGGCGAGTGGAATTTGTGGAAAATTGTTCCTAATCCGTATAATAAATCGTATCCAGTGAAGTGACGAGGCCCGAGGAGTCTTCCCGGTTTATTATTTCTGAAGTAACCAGCTGATCGAATGATCCTTGGGATAATTTAGGAAATAATACTCGACAGTGGTGGGTCGGGGGAGAATAGTAGCAATAATGGGGAGCAGATAGTCTCTCGAGTGATTTCTCGAGAGTCGATCGTCGCTTCGCAAATGGGCGAGCCGAAGTCTGCCGCCCCTCCGCAGCCGAACGGCGGAGTGAAGCAGAAGCCGACCAGTCTGAACTTAGCACTGGGAGCTCTCCATCGAAGCGTGAATGGTCGTCTCAGTTTGAATGATCGTCATCTACAGCACGTCACCGCGGCCGGCGGTGGCGTCGGCGTCGCCGGCAGCGGCATCAACGGCAGTGGCACCGGCGGACGTACAACTCGTGGGAAATCCACGTCACCAAATCCTGCATGCGGGAACGAATCTCTCAGTGGGCAGCAGCAACATCAGCAACAACTACTGCCAGCACTACCAACAGTACCAACATTATCCGGCCTATCACCGTGGGGTCTACCTACAGAACTTGAAACTGTCCTGGAACCCCAGCCCCCGCCCCCTCCGGCCCCCTCATCACATTCCCAGAACCCGCATCGCTCCACTGTCAACGATCAGCACCAGCAGCAGCACCAGCAGCAGCAACGCAACAACTTGCAATCATCCCCGATCAACCAGCTACCCACACGTAGTCCGAGCCACAGTGGGAACGGGTTCCCACTGTATACACCACCAGCTCCAATACCAGCATCCGGGGCAAATAAAGTTCGCTCCACTCCCAATGGACTACCCCAGTCAGCACCGCGGCGTCCTCATAGTATTGCCGCTCCCCCATACCACGGCGTCAACGTCGGTGTCACTGGAGGCGGCAATGGCGGTTTACACCCCCTTAACCAATTCACCGGGAGGCAACAGCCACCACCACCACCACCACCATCATCATCATCCTCGTCGTCAGCCGGGGCAGCCACGTGGTCCATCGGTCCCGCCGGTCCGGTCCCCGGGATACCCCGTCGTGCCCATTCAGCAGCCAACACTCCAGCATCAGTATCAAACCAGCAGCAGGAATCATCCGTGCAATCAGCAAGCGTGGCTCCCGCAAGTCGCAACGTACTACCACCCCAATCCTTATGGAACGGTCAGCTACAGCAACCCTTACCTCGACGACCTCACAGTATTGCCGCGACCCCCGTCACCGGGCCTTCTACTCCCAACATGTCTTCGGCTACCGTCGCCCCGAGCGCTCGTACCCCCGGTGAACCCATACAGTGGGGCTCTTCCGGGTTGGTGCTGCACCAACCCGTACCTAGGCGTCCCTATCCCACTACCCTACCACATCCTCAACCACCCACGCCAACGTCACAAGCTCCAGGGCTGAGCGCCCTTACCAATCCTGGCAATTCAAATACCTGGACACCTGGTGGTGCACTACGTGCCAGGCCACATAGCATAGCATCCACTCCTCAGGGTGGCGTACCATTACCACCGGCGTCTCCCTCTGATTCCGGTTATCGCTCGCTGCCCTCAGCCTCCAGCGACTATCAACTTCTCAAGTCACCCTCGCAGCAGCAGCAGCAGCAGCAGCAGCAGCAGAACCAAAATCAAAGCGCCGTGAGACGACTATCGCTGCCATCTACTCAGACTCTACTTCGTACTTCCACTCCAAGACCAAGTCCAACCTTTCATGGGTTACCCTTTAGACCATTCACTTGCGGCGTCTCGCCCAATGGAAATCCCATCTTCTTGGGATGTACTCATTTGCACACTGGGATTGCGAGAGTTTCTACTCCGGTTACAAGTCCCGCGAACGCCCTCACCACTTCCCAGGCGATACAGCAGCTGCTTGCTCAACCCCGAAACGGCTTCAAGATCGTCGACGACAAAGTCTCGCTCTTCATTGAGATACTCGACACTCAGGAGAGATTTGCCAAGGTCAGTGGCAACTACCAACCGCTGCATGATTATCTTAAAATCCTCGGCACGTATTACCCATCCTCATCTCATTCCTTTTTATTTCCTTCATTCCTCTTTTATACGTCTTCTCCGTGTTTATACTTCTTCTTCTTCTTCTTCTTCTTCCACTTCTTTACTCGAGCCTGACCAGCTCTCGAGCTACTGCCTATGCGGAACCTTAGACCGTAAAGAATCCTCATTTGATTTCTTTATTTTTACAACCACGCACTTTATTACCCAAGACATTCGCGCTTTAAGAAGCTATGAGAAAGTTATTGGGACAAAGTGGCTTCCTCCTAGTCTCTTTATCCTGCTTGAAAATCAATCCGACGCGAAGAACTTTTTTTTTTCAGCCTGAAGCTACTATACTATATCACTTTTGTATAATGCGATAGTAACGAAGCCTACCGTTAAATCTACTCGGCGATACGTAAATTTATCTTTGTTTCATGGTAAAATCAATAAAGACGAGAATACCTGTATCCTCCGTACATCGCATCCTAAGATCGATCAAATCCGAGCTACGCCCTGGAGACAGTTATGAACGCTACTTTCCATTTTATGATAACTTTGTACTTCCACGTTCCCATTTTCGCGACATTATTTATATGCAAAGGCGTTTCTCGCCAAGAAACTATCGGGATCTCAAAATTCGAGTTAGCGCTTCTTTGGACACGTCGAGCAATTCCTTAAAGACACATCACACGTGAGAAAACTTGGCAAGTGAAAAGCGTAACTCAGCCATTTTTCTGCACTCTAATAAAATTCGCAAAGTTCTGTACAAAAAATGCTTATTAAATCCCCTTGCTACTTCTTTCTTTTTTCAGACCAAAAATATTTCCCTTTAAGTAACGAGAGAAATCCGTTTTCTCCTCGATTACCAGGATGCACCATTGCGTTCATCTCGTACGTCGCATCTCTCATCCAGTCAGCCTTCTCGTTTTCTTACTAAAATCCTCACGCGAAAAGCACCGTAATGAAATTGTTTAGCTTGCAAGCTGCTCGAGCATCGGGACCAAGTCTTCCATCCAGCTCTAAGCAAACTGTCAGAATCGTAACGGTAGAGCTTTCTGATTACAACAACAAAGACAAGAACCTTTCAAGAACCAAGAAATTTAATTTTCAAGCAAATCCCTGTCGTACAGACATTTTTTTAGCATACTGCGTTTTACAAAAATATTTAATTCGCTTTGTGCAATTCGTCATGTATCCAGATAGATAGAATTGAGAAAAAAGTACTACAAAGAGATATCGGGAATTGTTTCACTCTGCCTCGTATACATCGAGTGGCATATATTAGTTTCCAGATGGGTTCACTTACGTAATTGAAGTCTTAATATCGCACATCAAAGCCAAACAAGGTATACTGACCTCTTCCGCCCAAGAGCCCAAACTACAAAGCTTCCGGCAAATGTTTGAGCCATGTTCGCGGCCACGGCGGATGGGTGCTCTTACAGAGGTGCTCTTACTACATCTTGATCTATCTATACCAGGCACTGTGCTTTATACAGCTGCTGGTCTGAAATGCGCGGTGCAAATACGATTTGATTAAAGCGCATCACCCTGGAAACATCCCCCTAGCCGGGAACACACCCCGTCGCTTTATTCCCTGTGGCACGCGAGTGAGAATTAGCAAAAGTGCAGCAGCGTCATTTGAAATTCTCGAGTATGATGGAATCGCGTTACTCTACGTACCTTCATAAGAATTTGCATTTGTCGAAACTTTCCTATTTATGTTCAGAGTGACGAATCTCCTCGTCAATGACAATTCTTCAATACGTCATATTTTTCTTGTTCCTCTACTACATTCAATAGCGATATCCCATACTGGTAACGATACAACTTCCAAAAGAAAATATAACTCGCGAATCAATATACTACACAGCTATACAAGTTCCGTAAGTGATGGGAACTCTGGGAAATTTCTTACCAGCCTCGTTCACGAACATAGAATAAAGTCTAAGATGAGCTGTTCGTCGTTTAGATATACTCTACACTGATGAAACCCTTGAAGGCGCCGTGTTTGGTACATTATTAGACGCCTTGTCCTCGTTGATTATAAAAACCTGTCTTTTTAGCACGCTTTAATGCAATAGAGATAATTGTCGAGGGGCCATTTTGGTATGACGTTTTCGTGGAGGATGGGACTTTGAAGAGGAAAAAAAAAAAAAAAAAAAGAAAAAAACGAAGATTCTAATAGATAACGTATAATTGAATCGGATGTGATCCTCGAGGATTTTGACGGGTTTAGGTTCCTTCACTTTTTAACATATCTTTTTCGACGCTAGGGAAATTAATCCTTCCATCTCGTCCACGTGTTACGGTAACGTTACGAATTTCCCGCGCACCGGAAAATGAAACGGACCGTACGTAGCCGAGGTGCCGGTGCAGTGGCTCTTAAAATGTGCTTACTCGGATTGATAAATGGATTCTGAATTACCCAAGACCTTCTGCAGCGAGTGGCTCTCGCCTGGAAGCTGACTCGGATCCGAATAAAAATTAATGAGAAACATAATGCCTTCGATGGAATCCCTATTAAATCAATAACTTGTGCCAGATGGCGAGCGAAGCTTAGAGGGGTAAAATAAATTAACAAATCGCAACCAGCTGATACTCGGACCTTCGGCGAGGAATAATTTACTACAAATATACGAGATGTATTCCATAACTAATGGAGAGGTATCTGTGAAGGAATATATTTTGTAGTCTTATTTTCTATGCAGTCTGAGACATCTTTGTCATATTTGAAGTACGAAGAAAGATGCGCGTGAAGAAAGACACTAAAAATTTAGAAAATTTTTCATTCTTAATAATTCGACGATTTTTATGTTAGAAATATTTAGTACTACGTTTTTTTATATTTTAAATGTTTTGGCTGGTTGGTATAGTTACGTCACGGGTTATCAGACTGTTAATTAAAAATGACGTCACCTCGCCGGTTTTTAATATAGGGAATGACGACTCCGTGGTAGTCGTACGGTATTTCATTTATCCAACTAGACACGTCAATTCGTGAAGCGACGAGGTTATAATAGTTGCTCAAACTCAGGGGCAAAGGAACTTCCTCACAAAAGCCTAGTTCCGTTGTACAATAGATTTCATCCCGGAGGAACACAGCGCCAAAGACAACTTCTTAAAGCCGCACCAGTGACGTTCAAAACTTCAGACACATTTTACCCAGCCGTCCCATTAACGTAAACTTTCTAGTGCACCCTTGGTATACAGGCATTTATCACTGCCATAATGTTACTGCTGAAACAGAATAAAATTTCGCCTCTTACCTTAACCCAAGCAAATCGAATAAGCCACTGTGTCACGGTTAAAGGAAATTCATCGTGTTTTTCCCTTTTTTCTTTTCTCTTTTCATATATTGATTATCAGATTCGGTTATTCCTAAGGACTCTCCTCCTCTCTCTTCGTTTTATCTTTTTCTTCATTCCGAATGAAAAAGTGGGTCAAATCTTGGGAAACGTGAGGAACGTTAACTGCGTGGCTAATCAGTAATCAGGTTCTGGTTTGATACCCTAATCAAGATTCACGTCTGAATACAAAAGGAGCTTGGCTATATAAACTCGTGAGAATTTTTGCAGAATATTATCAAATACTTAAATAAATTTGATATCCTCGTAAAACGATTATATATAGGAACCTTAGCTGCTACTATGTTGGTACGTCTGTTATTTACGACTTATTCCAAATGAAAACACGACCACAAAGTTTATAACAGCTTTAAGAAGTTGTCTGTTAGGAAATTTAACTATAATAAGATCGTGATAATTTTCAATAATTAATTAAGACCGATGAACAATCTTTAATTTCGCTAATAAAAGTCATTAAAAGGGGTATAAAAATTTTCAAATTCTATTATCAGTCGGAAGTATATTCTTTTTGAAATTTTCAGGGATTTCGTTCACGCGTAAAACGATTATGCAAAACGAGACTAGCCTCCCAGTGGCGTAAGCACGCTTTAATTTGGCTGCATTGTCG